AACAAACAAACAAACAAACAAACAAACAAACAAGAGGTACCCTCAAAAAAGGACAGACCCACATGGATGACCATGTGCCCGCCAAAGTAAATGGAAGCGTCCATGCACCAGCCACTTCAGCGCATGGTTATGTAGAAATATTGCAACACCGCTGTAAACTGGAGGGACAAACAAGAACAATGCAGCCTGGACCTTCAAACTCCGGGAAATTTCTGTGAGTTTTGGGAGACCCCTACGATTTACCGAATTCCAGTGGTTTAGCTACAATTGGTGCAAAAATAAATACGATTTGCATCGTTTCCAGTCGCGCATTGGCCATACAAAGCAAATCACCTCGCAGCACTTGCCAACGTGCCAGTGAACAGCATAAAATGCCTTGATCATTCAAAACTACGACTTTTTTTTAATTTGCGGGAGTTTGCAGGCTTTTGCGGGAGATTTGCGGGAATTTGCGGGCGTTTTGCGGTCAAAATGGGTACGTTTTTTTCTGCACCGCACAACTTTGGACCGCCGTTGCATGTTTTGACAAGCTTGCGGGCTGCTTCAAGCCGTTTACCCCTGCAAAGCTTCCTTTAATCTGTCAAAGGCCGCGAGCATTGCAATCGTGTGCTTTTTAGGAGGTTTAGGAGCTTCAGGCTTTTGCGGCAAGAAGCGCCCCGATTTCCCAAATATCCAGTCAAAGGCGGAAACTGCGTTATTTTTGTCAAGAAGACGAGGGTCCAGGAGAATAAAAAAGAGAATCAGCGCGCTCGAACGCGATTAGGCGTTCGTCGCCGTAATTTGGATTTCGTTGTTTTTGCAGTAACGGCCGCCCCTTTTCACTTGGCTCCAAGAGGCAGGCCCAAGCAAGCCTCTTTGCAGGCGTGTTTCTCTTGAAACAAGCAAAACAGACACCATGTCAGAACAAAACCGACAAGCAGCCGACAGCTTGATTGTATTGGGCCTTAGCCTAGGCGCAGCGGGCAGTGGCAAAAAGTTTCTTCAAGTCAGTTTCAGCTTAGCGTTCTTCGCGCTTTCAAACACTTATAACCTGGTAACAGCTGAACTCACTGAGGGCTTCGGCTCAAAATCTCCCCCGCACCAATTCCAGATTGGGCAGCGGTCTCCAACACCAACCCCACAGGTCCCCCAGTAGTGCCCTTTTACCCCCTTTGGGGGGGAGGGTTCCCCTAGTAAAATGGACTACAGAAAAAAGGGTACCCTTATTCTAACCTCTCTACTGGAGGACCTAGCCCAAGCAATCCTTGAACCCTTGGCTCAGCTTCCCACCGAGCTTTGCAGCTTTGCGCACCCAGGCCTGCGCGTGCCGCCACGCCGAAGAGTCGGCCGAGCTGCCCTTCTTTTGCAGCCTCCGGGAGTGTGCCGCGGCCACACCGGCTTTGGTTGGATGATGCGTCTTAAGTCAGAAAGAACATAGAAGTTGCCATCATTTAGGGCTTGCTTTGGGCTGAGACACGGGGCGTTTGGAGAGGAAGACCAGCTTACTTAGACCGTAAGGAACTGCAAAACTTGCCTTGTCACAGAGTCACAAGGTTGCGACGTACCCTCAGGGCTTGCCCGTCGCAAACCTCGTCTGGGCTCTTCCCGTGTCAAGACTAGCATGGTTCACAAGAAGGATGTGATGAAGAGTGTTGACAGCCCATTTTCCAATGTTTTGCCGGCCGAAAAGTCAGGAATCATGTCTCGCAATGCCTATGAACTTTGTGGTGTACGGCCCTTCATTCTCATCCATTTGGTGCGTAAGGCGTAAAGCAAAAAGGCCGCCGGATCGCTCTTTTGTCACATACGATTGCTCGCTGACATCGGCGGAGCAGACTGGCATGTCCTTGCACGCGACTTTGGATGACAACAAGTTGGGGACGAGCTGGCTCGTCCATCGGCTGTAAAGCCCGTCTCTCAATATTGCTAGCCAAGCTAGCAGAGAATGGGAATGTTGAGTTGGGCCCAGTGGAATGAAAGGTTGTCTCTACCCCAGGCGGAAGTGTTCAGCTAGCCTCGCAGCTTTGTTTGCGCGGACGGTGCGTATATGAGCTTTGGAGTTGGTTCAGAGATACCGTGGCTGAACTTACTTTGGCTTCGCGCTGAAACTAGGGGCTGTTTTGGAGTCGGTGATCATCTCAGTTTCCTACTTTGGACACTTCATTGAGCAATGGGTTCTTTTCTCTCGGGCCAATTTGCGCTTTGGTCAACACTTGGGGTAAACCTTGGGATGGTCATCTTGGTAAGGACAACTAACCCTTAGAATGATTCCTGTTGACTTGGTGGCAAGCCCAGCCATCCGGTTCCTACGGAAATTCTGATTTTCGTGCTTAGTGGTTGGATTTCCGTTTAACCCGCTAAACAAAATTCGCTCTTTTTTTTGCGGGGGAGAGATGGGCCTCACGGCATATCCATCTCGCCTCACCTCACCGCCGTCTCCGGAGGCTTCCTGCGCCCGGCCTGGCGCGCGGCCCGGGTTTTGCTGCACAAGGAGCGGCCGCTGCTGCACAGGCGGGCCGCGGGTTTGTTCCCCGTACCGCTGAGCGGACCTGGTGGCAAGCACTTGACCAAAGGATCCTAAGGCTGCTGTTCAGACCCGGCGGCAGGCGTTTGAGTGTTTGATCAAAGGGTCCGTGACTATGGGTTCTCCTGTTTTTCCCGTGTTCCTTCTGGATATATAGGCAGGGGCGAATGCGGTGGCACAGATGAAACGTGCCAGGCTGCCTGCGTGTCGTGCTTGCGCAGGTTGCCATGCAAGCTAGGCGAGTGAGGGTTGGCCGTGATGTGTTGTGTGCATGTCATGAAGTTCCAGGATACGGGCCGCGGTTTTGCACCACCGCAAGGCGACCCATGTCTTCCAAGAACAGTGACCAACGCCCGCTGCTGCAAGCTTGCAGAGAGGGATCCAGCCAACAACGCATTCTCGCACGAGTTTCAGAAATAGCTGGCTGACAACAAGGAGATCAAAGAAGGAACAATTATTTCCGTGCTGGGATCCATGAATGGCTATATGAAGGTTTCTCAAAATGGTTGACCCCTTTTGGTTGGTCAAGGAAACGGAAAGGAACACAGATTTCCATTTTTGGGGTTCTCCTATCACACCCATGGGCCCAGGGTTCCACTTTTTGACCATCCCCACATTCCCCCCACTCCCACTCCGCCCCACTCCCCACTCCCCCCACTCCCCCCCCCACTCCACCCCCTCCACCCCACTCCCCCCCAACTCCCCCCCCCCCCACTCCCCTCTCCCCCTCCCCCCCTCCCCGATTTGACACACCTGCCAGGTGCCATGAAGTCAATGGCGAAGTCTTGCAGCTCACAGCGCCACTGCGCCTTGCGCTTTGCGTCTACCGCGCCGACGATGACGAGGGCCCGGACGAGCCTGAGGATTTGTGAGGACTCGGGTTTTCTCAAGATGTGACTCGATATGACATGGGGAATGAATTTTAATTAGGGACCGGAAATGGTGGACATCATTTGCAGATTTGTGTCCACCAGCCACTTTTCGAGGGGTTCCCTGTTAAAGTTCGCATCTAGGGGGGTTGCGGCTTTGTTCCCTATTCAGATGACCAAACGAGATTGAAAACCAGGGAATTGCATACCTTGGCACTGCATTGATTCGTCAAACGCCAGACTGCAATTTCAAGACAGCCTGTGCGCCATGCCGGATCCTTCCCTTGAGCCCTTGCAAGCCAAGCGCAAAACTCCGGGGAGTCCTATAAGAACTGATACACTTCCCGCTACAGTAGATTTGGCGAATTCATCTCTGGTTTGTACCTGCCTATGTCTTTGGCTGACAGCCAGTTTTTTTTGACGGCAGCAGCTGCAGATAGGCTCCGCATGTTTGCAGCTTGACGAACCATGCCTCTGGCATACCAGTGGTGAGTTCCTTCCCGAGGATGTTGGATTTGAGCGACTTGACGAATGGTGACGCTGCGATGCCTGTCTACTTCTTGTGTACATACTAGCTGAATCTGCAAGGCATGGATATGGATGTGTGCACAGCTTGAGTGTCACAACCTCCATGCCTAGATCGCTTTGCTATGAATGTTCTGCAGTGCCTCAGCACTCGCAAATGAGATCACGATCTCGAAATGACCAGCGCCAAAGTGCTCTTGAGAGGTCCAGGCACACATTCAGTTGATTAGCTTGTGACAAGCGATTCTCAAGGCATTTTTGACATGAACTTCGAATCACATTCTTAAAATGGTTTGTGGCCTGTAGCACTGCTGCAACATCATCTTCAATTGGGCAGGCAAGTGAACCTTCCCAGCATGCTGGCCGTGCACCACTTGCTCTGCACCGCTCTGTGATACGTTTGTCTTATTCCGCCAGCGCTGGAGTGCGCAAATTGAAAAGGTCGCAGTTCTTTGTGCAAGCTGGCTGCTCGGGTTGTACAAGGAAAGCACATCTTGGAGCCAAGTCCGCATGTTTGCTGGCGAGAAGACAGGACTCATGTTCCTTCCGGCGTCAGCAAGAAACTTGATAAGAGAGGGCCGAGAAGTCAGCGGAAGCTTCCTGACAGGCCAGCGCACGGTGGAGCCGCCGTGCTTGGGAGCCGGGAAGAAGGCCATTGGGTTTACCCTCCCCCAGACTAACATGGAAGCTCCCACAACCCCGTTGGAAGACTGTATTCTATTTACGGAAGCCTTCTGGGAGCTTCCATGTTAGTCTGAGGGAGTGTAAACTACCAGCGGATGATGGATAATCGTGGATCAACCAGCGCTAGAAAGATCTTCCGCGTTGTGACTGTCCGTGTTTGCGGGCCGGGTCCAGAAATCAATCACTCACGCGCAGTACCAAGCTTGGGCCAAAACACAATGTCGTACTATTCGCTACTGTGGATAAACGAAGTCCTGCGCCAGTTTGAAGCCACAGGAAGCCTTTGTTGGTGTTTATAGGGGAATCGAATCATTCCGTTGGGTTTCTGAACAGCGCTGCGTTTTATGGGTTTCGCAGCCATCCACCGGTATTGCCAGTGAGGCCTCACCGTGTTGACCCTTCCTGCCCACCTGTGCCAGGGGCTGTCACCGGCTCCTGCTCCGCCGGGAGACTGGCAAGGCGCGGCTCCGGCTCCTCACTTCTCAGGGAGCGAGAGTCATTAGTTGCCACATCCTTGTCAGAGAAACGATGCGCGAAGGGAGCGCTTCCTCATGGAATGAGTTGGTGCACCGAGCTCCATAGGCACATGTTCCATGCCCTGTATTGACGAACTGTGAGTTTTTTTGCCGGGGCCCTTGGCTGCTTGGTTGCCAAAATTGGGATGCTTGAAGGGGAAACCTGAAGCAACCCACCCACCCACCCACCCTGACTCAGTGCTTGGATGTCGCCAGGTCGCAGCCCTCCGCGAGACGTGCCTGGAACTCCCAAAGCGCCAAAGCGGTTCGCGGACTATGATGCCTTTTACAGTTGGAAGTTCACCCCCCCAAAAAAAGTGCTGCACAAGAAAGGTCCAGCCTCCCGAAAGGCTTCGAGCCCCTGTTGGCTTCCCCCAAACCACAGTGACAAGAAGATCCGCCAACACGAAGACACGCCCAAGTTCTCCGGCCCGCTTTTGCCGGTTCTAGGTCGCCCAGGGCCTCTCGCAGTTCCAGACGGCAGGCGTGGGATTCAAATCAAGTGGGAGTTGGGCGTGGGGGGTTCGTGAAGCTCATAGAATCATCCAATGTGCTCATAGCTCATCTTGCAGGCACGCCCACAGGCAAAGGGCTGTAGCATCTTGGCAGTTCATCCTCAAGTGCAAATATGTGTCACTTCAAAGGAGACTCTGGTGATGTGTTACACGGGCATGTTGGCCTGATTGGTCTCCTCGGCAACCACGGGAATCTGCGTTGGTCTTTTTGGGTTGGCACCACCATGGTCTCATTGACAACTGAAACGTCGAGTTGCATGGTATCTTCCAGTTGCTTACGTTTTTTGTTTTCCTGTTTTCCCTTGTTGGTTTTAACAGGAATTAATCACTACTGTAAATCTTTCTTTTTTTAGAGCCCGGGGTCTTAACCAAAAGGAAGGTATGCAATGAGACTGCGCTAGCTGCCCGCATGGATTGCCCCATAGCGACCTGGGAGCCACGCGAGGGTCGGCGCAGAGAGGAAGAAGCGCCAGCCTCGGGCACAGGGCAGGGTTCCTTCGGGTTTGCTTCGGCGCAGCATTTATCTTGCTTCGGGGTTTGGTTCTGGGTTTGTGTCTGTTTTTTTTTGTGTGTTGTTTTTTTTGTGTTTTTTTTTTTTTTGGGGGGGTGGGGGCGAGCGGATGTTTCTTTTGTTGGTGTTTCAAACACCCGAGAGCCGGCAGCTCTGATCTGAGAGCGCCTCGGGTTGCAATCATCCGCCATGCCCAATGGTTCTGTTTGGATAACTTCAAACGAGCTTTCTGGGGTAAAACCAACGCACCCAAGGTCCTGAAAAGCTTGCCACCCGCCAACTCTTTCATGCCTGCCGCAAAAAATGTACCCCCCCCCCACAGCTCATTGTTTGGCTGTCGAGGCTTAGCAGTGGCCTTTGCTTGCGTTTCTTTGCCAAGGCGTCTTTTTGACTTAGCCGGGCACATATTGCCTCTGGCCTCCCCTTTGCTTTTGCAAGTGTCAGCCGTTTTCCTTGTGGGAATGCAGGGCTCCGGATGGTCGGTTCCCTGGGAGCCTCTCTGGACACCTTCCGATAGGTTTGGTCCAATTTTCCAGCGAGGAACATGGGAACTCACCAAGTATCCAAAGCACCCCTGGCTCACGAAGTTGTGTATCTCCTCTTGGAGAAACCTGCGTCATTTGGGTCGCTCCCCAAAAAATCGGGGAACCCGCAAAATGGTATAGCTTGTGTTTTGGGTTCCCTGCAAGCCAACCTAAGAAAGGGAACCCTCGAAACAGACACTCACTCAACGGCGCTCTGACAAGTCACTGGTCACGGCCCAGCAGGTGGCACCTTAGTCTGCCACGAACCTTAGAAAGCCCCCAAGGCACCTTAGTCTACCTCCAAACAGACACTCCAAACTTCGGAGTCCGCGGCTCTTGAGGAGACGTGCCGTCCCAAGTCGGCGCTGAGAGCCCCGCTGCTGCGGCGGAAGAGTGCGGCGAAGCCGAATCGCTACTGACGAGAGGGAGCTTGGGAGTTTGTCTTTTTCTTTGCTCGGCACCTATTTTCTTCCCCAGAATTAGTTCCCCTTTTTATTTGTTTGCTTTTTTGGGGTTCCCTTTGTTTTCCACCAACCAGGCTTTTTTTTGCTGGGGTCCTGATTCCAGCCTAGTTTTGAGGTGCTGTGGATGCCAACAGGGAACAAGTGGGACACCCTGTAGATTTAAACGTGTCTGGATCGCCAGTTGCGATCACTTTTTTCCATACACTTTACCCCAACACCAGCAACAGTGACTGAAAAAAGCAGCAACTTGGCTATCTAGGTGGTTTGTGGTTGTTTTACTTGCAAGATCCAGCCTCGGTTGCCCAAAGCTGCTGAGTGAAGGTCCCAAAAGGTTACCCTCCCAACGAACATCACGCCTCCCGAGGGTCCCTTGAAAAAGTTGATCTTCGGTCGCCCTCCCCCAGATGCCTTCGGTTAGCGGGAGGAAGGGTAACCTATTTGGGGTCCCAAAAAAGGGCAACTGACCTAAGGCTCTCAAAGTAACACCCATTTTCGCGAGCTAAGACTCTCTTGAGGGTAGGGGAAACCAACGGCAGCCGCCCTGTTGCTTCCTTCTCTGCGGGCATTTGGGTGTGTGTGTTTTAAGGAATCGGATCCCACAATGGTCGTTTTCCCTTTTAAGCCACCTGAAATAAAGGTAGCCTCAAAAAAAACAAGACAGACCATATTTAGGATGCTCATCTTGGATCTCGGATCTCTCGATCAGTTCCCGAAATGGGGCAAGGCGCGTTCGACGGAGCGCATTTTCGCTGTCTTGGCGCAGGACCGGCAGAAAGTAGGACTTCGGAAGGGGTTCCCCAGCGCGGTCTGTCCAGCCCCGATTTGAGTGGTTGCTTCTTGCGGCGAGCGCCTTTTCAGGCTGGGTCCAAATCCCGAAAAATGGCACAAAGCCAGATGGCAAGTGGTTCCATCTTGTTTCAGCGGCCTGATTTACTGCACCAGTCTGGGGAACCCATTTGCCAACCGCGCGCCCTTGGATATGGCGTACGGAAAAAGAGGTGCGACGTACAGGCACCAGTTGCTTCCTGCCCAAGTCGTAGATGAATCATGAACGCTGTGGGTCTCAATGGCAGCGTTGCGCATGCTGAGCGCTGCACTCGGGATTTCTGAAGTCAGCGGAGCAAAGAGCGCGGGTTAACTACCGGCATGTTTTGGCTCGTGAGAAGGAATGTGCAAATCTAGTTATCCAGACTTGAGACCAGACAAGCACGTTAGTACTTAGCCTGCAAACACTGAGCTTCACCAGAAAGAGCCTACAGTTTACCCAGCTATGTTACTCCAAAATCAAGCCAGTCAGCGTGAGTAGCTTGACTGCCCGGCGCTTTTGGGTATCGCGACACAGCGGTGTGTCTTTGGCAGCAAGATGCGTATTCGTGCCGACAGCAAGACTTGGGTGTTCATCTACTTCATGGTTTGGGACCCTTGGACATAGAGAAGTTTCCTAGGTCTTGGCAGCAAAGGATTTCTATTGAAAGAGCTCTGACCATGACCCGTACTGTGGGTGGATCAAATCCATTTCGCACCACCGTCCAGATCCCCTGGTTTCTGATTCCATTCCCCAACGTAAATACCAACAAGCGTTCTGGTTTCAACCATGGTTTCCTTTCGTGGTGCGAACGGATTTCGTCCATCCACAGTAACTAGTCTTGACCTGAGATTGCCCGCCTTTGGGCCGACTCGGCAAGCAGCTCGAAAGTTTCTGTCGGGGATGAGCCACTAGTGTCAGCATGTGCCAGCGCCCATGAGCCTTGGGATGCTTGAGCCGTGAAGGGCTGTACTGCCGTGTTTCACCACAGTCACAGCAATGATATGGAAAGCCTGCACCACTATATCTACCAGGAAACAACTTCTCTCCCGTAAGATGTTTGCTCATCCAGGGATTAAGTCGAAAAGCAAAGCGAACCCCATTGATTGGAGAAGCACTTGGTTGCTCAATGAACCCCGTACGGACGTGCACCTAAGGATTCATTTCAGCATGGGACGAGGCGCGGTGCGTTTGAACTTTCAGTGGCATCTTGGTGTGGTGCTGCTTGGTTTGGTTTGACTGAATGTGCGCGGCTTTGGAGTGAGCTGTTTTGTTTGTTTGTCTGGTTGGGTGGCTGATTTGTGAAAATCTGAGGGCAATGAGCAGTGAGGATCAGCAGAATTCGGCCGCACGAAGTTGGCATCTCCACGGATTGCTGTTTGTCGTAACTTTTTCAGGATAGCCGTCAGGTTTTGCAGAGGTTGCAGTCGGATGAGCAGAGGCTTCAAGAGGTCCGCCTGACGCCAGGCAAGAATCCTCGAGTGTATCTGGACATTTCCATTGGCAGCCGCACAGGCAAGCTCACAGGGGCCAGGGACCTTTTGGGTTATGTGCCGTCCATTGGTGCAAACCTGATTTTGGTTTCGCCCCTCTAAAGGGAGTGTTTACGGCGTCGTGGTGACCCACCGTTTTTAGGTTTTTGAGATGGATAGATGGTTGATGCAAGGTACATAGCCGTTCCATTTGCCATTTGCCATGCCCAAGGTTTTGCAGGCCTTCCGACATCTTAATTGGGAATGCTCGCATAGCCGAATTGCCCTCTAGCAGAGCTCCTCTCCCGAAGTTGTCTCGATGACAGGCTGTCGCTGTTGTTCGTCCCCTGTTCTTCGTTGCTTGCAGTTGCCAAGACTGGAAGTTTCAACGAATCTGACTTGACGTTCTGCATGACATGGGAGAACCTTCACCCTCGTGTTTGACATGTGTCAGAAAAACAAAATGTGCGGTAGACAGTTCTCGGCGGACATCATCAATCGACTTCCAATGAGTTACAAACAGCTCCATTGGAAGCCTGGGCTTTGCCGAAATCCTGAGGTTTGTCCCATTCAACTCGGGTTTCAGTCAACTCGCTGCTCCGAAGGACTTACCTTGGACCATCCCCAGGTCAGGTCGGATCATTGGTTTCCCAAGAAAAACATGAGAGACCCTGCTGACTTTTTTGTTTTTCTTCTTTTTTTGTTTCCTTTCCCGGCGAAAGGTACATTTGGGTTCGGCTTAGAGGGAACCAAAGGCAAACCACCATTTGTTGGTGTATCTTTTTGGAGTTGGTACCAGGTTTTTTTGTTTTTTTTTTTTTTTTTTTTTTTTTCCGGGAAGACCAAAAGGAAAGGCTGCATGTTTGCTCAGGGTTCCTATTTGGGTGTATCTCAAAAAACATAAACCCACCCTCTCAAGTGTACCATCAAAGAAACCACACCCAGTTTGAGACCCCAAGCCCAGAGGCGGCCGTGTCATCATCGAGCTCTTCCCGGACATCACGCCCCGTGCGGCTGAAAACTTCCGAGGGCTATGCACCGGCGAGTATGGCCTGGGTAGCCCAGTGAAGCTTCAAACCTTTGTTGTTTTACATACATAGCTCTTGTGTTGGGAAACCGACATTTTTTGTTTGGAGCGGGGTCCCTAGACCGATCCAACATACCCCTTGAAGCCGAAACCCAAAAGGAACTTTGTTTTTGTTTGGGCGGGGTCCCCTAAAAATGCCACACCCGAATTGTTCATCAGGTACTGCCCCAGAAGATTGGCAACCCAAGCGGAGGTTCCTCTACTGGTGTTCTGGGTTCAAAATATGTTCCATTGTTAATCTCGAGTGTATCCCTTCAGGTCTAAGTGTCTGATTCCTCATCATCAGAAAATATCCCAGGAAATGAGGAAGCTCCAGCAGAGGTGCCCAGATAGCAGTTGCCCTTGTGCACCCACTATGCAGGCTCAGGTGTCCATGGAATTTTGTGGTACATGAGCAACTGACAACATGACTGGTAGTCTACCGCTAGTTTGGGGAGGACACGGGTGTCCGGCAAAAACTAGCGCCCGCCTGTAATTGTTTGCCAGTGGGTTGGTGCAGTAGATTGCGACCCTCAAGTTGGCCGGAAAGAAGGGGGAAAAAGAACAAGGCAAGGCCTGAATTACAAGGCTCCAGACCCAAGCTTCCGCCAAGTGGTTTGCTTCATGCGCGACTGTCACACACACTTCCTACTTGAGCCCGGGCGGAAATGTTTGTTAGCTGGCATGTGCTTGCAGGATGCCAAGTCCGCCCTTCTCTCCCCTTTGGGTCAGTTTTCCCCTACTAAAGTAGACAGGAAGAAAATCGGGTACCCTTATTCCAAGTTTTCAAGTCTGGAGCCAGATCCAGTTCTTGTGGACTAAGGCATGGGGCGAAACACCAAGAAGAAGCTGAGCTACGAGGGTTGCCAGATCTTCCGCTCCGCCCGGGGCTGAGAGAGAGACCGAATCGCGGCCCCGTGGCCCGCTGCACGAGGGTGCAACATTAAACATGGGGTTGCCAGAGATGAGTACCCTTTCTGGGCAAGGGTTTATGTGGGTCCCGAATTAAATGGGGTCCAACAAGGTCCATATTATGACAACCCACCACACACGAACAGCACGTGATGGGGAGCACGTCGGCCCTTTTGACAGGAAAGGGTGCATTCGCGCGGAGTCGGAGAAGCCAGCAGTCGGCAGAAGTCGCTTCGGGAGGAACACATGCGGCCGAGGTGAAGAACTTTATGATCCAAACGGGTGACTTTCAGTCCAACAACGGGGACGGCCTCGCGCTTGGAAGTGGGATCGATCGGCCATGTGAAAGGCAGAAGCTGCCCGTCATACCCCACCCTGAAGGCTGAAGGTGGCAGGCTGTGAGGATGTTCTTTGCAGGGTTGGTACTTTTTCTGCACTTCTGAATGTTGGACATGTTTTGATGGGCAATAGGATCAGGCCAGTTTTTGGCTGCTGTAAATCAGAGATTTATTGAAGCGAATCATCAGCCTGCTATAGTTTGGACTGAGGATGATGAATGTTGGCGGGTTGCTTCGGCGGAATTGACGTGAAACGCGTCGCTTAGGTGGCGAAAGTATCTACGGAGGCACCTTCAATGATGAGGATTTTGTGCGGCGGCACACGCAGGCGCGGATGCAACAAATGTTTGAGGCAGGAAACTGCTCGATTCATCGAACATGCGGACATGAAGCGGACAATCGCAACTGCACTTGAATCTTTGCATCAAGCTTCTTTAAGACGTCGATAAAGAAAACATGACAAGCAACCAATCATGTCATTCAAATACTCCTCTTCAGCTGACCTGAGTTGTTGCTTCAGTAAGTGGCTGCTTCCTCATCCAGGCCGGCGTTGTCAGCATGGCCAACAAAGGCCGTGCCCCCGAGAAATTATGCTTGGAGATGTCCGGGATTTTGTGTAAAGCCCGTAAAGCGCACGGTGTTCACAGTGCAACCATGCACGTTTCATTTGGCTTCAACAGTTCTTGCAGACACCCCCCCAAGGCACAAGGCGGATGAGCTTCTCTTGTGGCCTCGAAGAAAGGAGATGCATCGCTGTGCGCTGTGCCGGTCGCTGAGGCCGAAACAGCAACGGCTCACAGTTCTTCATCACTCTGAAGCAGGGAGCTCAGCGGTTACGTGAAGCCAGTGCCCGAAAATGCGTGTGCTTTGTTTTCGGATTCTTACTGCAAAAGGTCGCTTCAACCAGTATCTATAGGGCGCGTTCTTACTGCAAAAGCAAGGGGGCCGTTCTTTTTTTGTCACTGGAGGCAGTGCCGCTTTTGCCGCTTCAACTTCCGCCAAAGCCCGGGTCAAGGCGTAGCGTTCAGCTCGACAACAAGCACATCGCCTTTGGCCAGGCCAACTCAATATCCAACCAAAGCCATTCGCATGGCAGCACGACAAAATATGGGTCTGTCTTTTTTTGGACTTCGTTCCTCTTGTTTGCTGGCTTTAAAAGGAAAACCACAAGTAAAACCACCCATTTTGGGGGACCCACAATGGCATTGAACCCAGACCTGGGTGCTGTTTGTAAGCAGGCTACCCTGAAGGTTGTGCTGGAAGCTGGAACCTCTACAAATCACTTAGCTCAGCAAGGTTGCAGGATGTATTTGAAAGCAGATATACGGCAAGTATACTTCGTGTGAATGGTGTAATTGGTCTGATTGAATCTGTGTTTGATCCAAGGCTTTTGAGATCTGGGGGAAGAGGCACGCACCACTGTGTGTTTGTGTGTGTGTGTGTGCTGACAAAAGGCCATTGTATGCCAAATGTTCTTCATGGGATGTGTATTATAATTTAGATACTCCTATACTCGTAGAGCTGCAACGGGTTCTCCTAGAACAGCTGCTGGTGACTCAGCCTGTCGGTGCCGTTCTGATCCAGGGGTCAAAGCTTACATCTACTTTTGCTTCAGAAATCGTGGGCGTGAGCTGGGCGACTTGATGCCTGGATGCGTGGAACATCTAAGTTGGACACAGTCCCTAGTGTACCGGAGAGTGGGAGGGCCTATCCATGTTTGATGGCCGGCAGGACAAGGCGCAGAGTCAGTCATGCGCCAGCACTGACTTCCTTAATTTGTCCAGCCGGCCTACGCTTGAAACTCCCCCCCTTTTTAACAGGTCAACTGAGTTCCTTTGGGGTCAATTGCCATGGTTTCAAGTGATCCAGGTCGACTGAGTCCCTGGGTCAACGCACGGGTCAGCTTCACGGCTCTTTATTTCCGCCCCTTCCAGTCGCAGGTAGTGGAGGGCATGGACGTGATTCGGGCAGTGGCCGCTGTGCCCACGGCCCGGGCCCTCTGTCAGAGCAAATGGGTGGCTCGTGTTTGGCCTTGTCGGCCTGAAATATACTCCCTTGCCCCAGTGGGGCGCTTCCCTTTTTCTCCACTTTGTTTTTGGGTAAGGGTTCCCTTTTTTCCTTTCAACTCAACCAACACAAAAGGGTGGCCTTTGTTTCCCATGGCCACTGGGCATCTAAGTATAGGAAATATGTTTACGTGTTGTTCCATTCATGTTGACCCCGGATTAATCAACCCCTGTTTATTACTAGTTTTTTTTTTGGGTGAAATGTGGGGGGGATGATCACTTTTGGAGGGGAACACCCCCATATTAATACAAAGAAGTTTATTAATCCGGGGTCAACATTATGTTCGATCCAGGGTAAGGCGAGTGTGGTGCCAGACATACGAGCTTGAAACTATCAAGTGCACAGCCTGAACCTTGTCATGATTGAACAACTACTTTCTTCCCTGCCTGCCAGCAGGTGTCCGAAATTGCCTCGTCTCGTGACTTAGGACAGGGACGAGCGCCCTCGGGTGTCGTGCACCATTGTCGGCTGTGGCGAGGCGCGATGGGATGTTCAATAGAAATAGGATGATAAAGGGCCATTTTTCCTAGAACTGAAATCTTTGTTTGGCTTTTGTCCGAGCCGATACAGCATGCTTGCAGGCGAAGTTAGCATAATGTGATGATAGTGTTTCAGTTTAATCGACTTCCCTGGCCAAGCTTTGCACGTCCGACTCTTCAGGTCGGCGCTAAGACTCAGAGCGGCGTGGATTTCCACACCGAGCCCGGGCGCCGAACGCGGGCGCTGTTTTGTGGGTGCGCAATGAAAAAAATCCACCAACAGAGTTCCGTTGGCGTATGCTGATTGATTTGTTGCGATTGTTTCTCAATGCTTGCAGCTTGGTGCATGTGTTTGCGTGCCCATGTGTGGCTGCCGCCAAGTTAATGATTGAATTCTGGACCTTCCCAGTTCCGGGTCAAGTCAATTTCAGGCACCAAGCCAGACCGGCCAGCGCCCACGAACGCCGCTCCTTCGTAGGCTGAAGACCCGTTGCCACACCTGCGCCAGCAACTTGCCTAGGATGAGCAAGCAGATTCTGAGTCTTCAAGAAGGGGACACTGCGAAGGCCAGCGGGCGGATTGAAATCCACGACATGCGTTGAGGGTCCTTCCGGCGGCGACACGATGTGTCTTCAACTTTCACAACTTGCCTCATTCAAACCTGATTTTTTCCAGTTGAGTTGCTCAGTTGCGTACCAGTTCTTTGCTGGTGCTCAGCAGGGACCCTTATAAACCAACCCTTGTTTCCTAAGGAAATCCCTGGGTTCGTTCCCTCATTCCCTACTGATCGCACCGGCAAGTTTTGGTCTAGCGATTCTTGGAACCATGCGCCAGGTGAATGCTGCAGAGGAAGGAAAGAAGATCTTGGCCGGCAAACCAGGCAAGCGACAAATTTGTCAGCTATGTGAGATATGGGGGTGTTTTTTTTTAGCGGGGTGCCTTTCCTTGGATTGGTGGTTTTAAAGAAAACCTCAAGGAAAACCAGCCATTCTGGGTCCCCGAAAAAAAGGCACACCCACAGACTCTGATGGTTTGATGTGTCCGGCCTGATTGAACAAAATCTATCGAGGAGTCAGATTTCGGAGGCATAGCAGTTGGAACCTGTCCGGCGTTGGGTCATCAAGCGGCCTATAACAAAAGTGGCTGTGGGTCAAAACCAATGGTACCATTTTGGGGTAGGTGCACCACCCATTTTAGTCTATTTAGTGGGGATGGGGATGTTCACTGGGGGTACGGGGTTTTGACCCATGGCCATATTTGTTGACTCAAGTTGCCGAAGTACTGATCTTCGCAGGTTCTTGCTTGATTCAAAGGCGAGACAAGGGCAAAGCCTTAACTTTCACAAGGCATGTGTCGTTGATGTCTCCCTGGCCAATTTCTGCTTGATACGTGCTAGGCGGACCATTTATCGCTCGCGCATATTCATATTATACGGGTGTGTCCGTTTTGGGGAACCCCTTTCTGGTTCATTTTAAAGGGAAAACAACATGAAGACCAGCCATTTTGGGGTCCACTACCAAAAGACGTGCCCATATCACTCGTTCAGGTGGAGCTGCCGCGGGGCAAGAAATTAGCGGCACAAGCGTCAAGCGAAAAGCCGAGGCTCGGAGAGGGCAGTCGTCGAGTGAGTAGACTGGGCCGCAAGGTGATTGGCATCACGACCCAGAGTCCTTGGACCGCGTTGCATCCTTCTACATGGTTTGGTCTGGATTCATGTTTGGATCGTGATGAATCAGCTACGTCATGTCCTCTGGATTCATGTTCTTGTTTGGTGGTCTACATGGTTTGGTTCACCTACAATGATCCTTCTACATAGGAGTGCTTGGCTGTATCAGCTTGTATTGCCGTTGGAACAAGGGTGTCGTGCTGAATCCGAGTCCAAGGTCGCAAGTATGTGAGGTGTACGCAGATAGCGTTTGTAAAACCAACGCCCATTTAATTGTATGCTTGCAACTGCTTGGTTTTCACATGATTAGGACTAATTCTGGGTTTGGCATTCCTTGCAGTCTTGGGCGTAGGGGCGTCTCAAAGTGTATGAGTAGCAGGTATGCGTGTGAAACGGCCCGAGACTTGCCAAGACAGAGTATTATTGGGTTTTGCAATTACGAGAGCTTCATTTAGGCCAGGTAAATGCATTGCCAATTTTGTCAACCTTGCAGTTGTCTCGCATTGGCATTCTTGCATCCTTTGCCTTTCGCAGCTTGCAGTGTGCTTCAGGAGGATGCGGCTCTTAGCGAAGGTGCGCATCTCAGCACACATGACTGGGGTCATTATTTTGATTGTTTCTAGGGGTTGTGAAAGTCAGAATATGGGGTTGTTTCCCTTCAACCCGTCACTTAGGGGGTGACTTTGATCATGGTAAAAGAACGAGGCCAGCATGATTCCTCCTCCATTCTCAAGGCATGTCATGAGACTTTGCAGTTGATTGTAGACAAAGATCAAGTTCGAACATCATGTCGGCAAGCACCAGGGCCTCTTGCGAACGATCCATGTGAGAGTGTTACTTCCGGATCGAACTTTTCCAGCTCAGAGCCGTTTCGCGGCTAACAAACTGCACCCATGGCCGTTTGGCGGGCTCTTGCCCTAGGCGCTGGCATTCCATTGCCCAAGAACGACCGCGAGCGGAAGCTCTACGAGCTGAGGACGGGGTGTGTGTGTGTCTCCAAGTAGAATCACTCAAAAAGGGCTCGGTGTTTTTAAGCTGATGTCCGTTTCCCAACCGCAAAATGAGCGACCCCCCCAAAATGGAAGGGTTTCCCTGGGCTTACCCTTTCAAACCAGCCAAAAAAAAACAGATACCGAGCCTCACAATGATCCAACTTTCAGCTGCCAGTCCTGAAGACCCGGCATGGCCGTGGGAACAGCGCGTGAAACCTTCATGCGGGCTTTTGCCGTTCCCATGCTTGCGTTTTTGTTTGTGTTTCTTCCATTTGCCATAAGAACACGTCTTACTTTCCTTTGGTTTTAAAAGGAATCTATCACTAGTGCAAATATGTTAATGGAAGGCTTGTGTGTTTGTTGTAGAGAGAGAGAGAGAGAGGAAGAGGTAGAGGTAGCGAGAAAGGAACTTGTGTGTCATCAAGTATTTCCAGAGTTGTGAGACCTACAATGTCGGGCGAAGCGTGCTCATGCGTGTTCCTGACTGTACACAATATAGCAAAAGCAGCTTGTGCTGACATGGCCAATACAAAATATATATACGCACTCCCACAGAGAGAATTGGAAGTCCTTCAAATACATATACCTTGATTCGTAGAGTGTACAGTATTCACGGTGTCTGAAACAGGCTTTAGTTGAGCGGGATTTATATAGGCTCGCACAGATCTTGGCAGCCTCCAATGAGAAGCAGGATGCTTGATAACCTAGTCCCCTGCTCCAAACAACTTGAAAGGATGAAGGCTGAGTATGCCGATGCCAGTGGGTTCCACGTTCTATTGGTTCCCTGTAACATTGTCCAAGTTGTTTGTTCGCGCGGAAGGCTTTCAATGGGTCACTCCCCAGGTGGTGGCTTAGATTGGTGCTTGGGATTTGGATTTGAAGCCCTGGCTCTTGCGGGTCAATGGGAAACCGCCGGAGCACCTCCAAAAAGAGGGAAGCCGACTCGTGGTCCTCCCATGGCCGCGGGACATGTGGCCAGGCTGAGGATGAACCAAGGCACGGCAGCCAAGGGTCCCAAGTTGGATGCGGTGTTCACTTTGGAGCACGCAAAGCTTGGCGGGTCCCATACGGTCCCTGATTGGTTTAGCTTTTTAGTTCGTAGTTCGTTTTGTGGGGGTGTCCATTGAACCCACAAGAACTCTTTTAGCCGAGGACAGCCCAGAAAAGCTCCAGATTGTAACAGTAAAGAGCGCTTGCTTTTGGCAAGAGGCTACATAGGTTTTGCATCTCGATGGTTCACCAAGCCTGCGAGATGTGAGAGGGAGCTGCAAACATGAGGCCGCTCTTTAGGCCATCTGAAGCAAATTCAGGCAGTTCATCCCAGCCTCAATCCGTAGCTCTAACTGACACTGGTGAGTCGATTGACACTTCGGGCCTTCGGGCTGTCGTGTGCGTTACTTGCTATGGAAGCTTGGGGGATTGTTTGTTTTGTGTGTGTGTTCACAGCTGCCTGCATTGGTAGATTTGTTGCAACTATGCCTGTGATCACAGAAGCATACATGCAACCCCATACACACATCAAGCAAGCTAGCAAACAGACAAACAAGCAAGCAAGCAAGCAAGCAAGCAAGCAAGCAAGCAGCACCTTAGGATGGACCACCATTTGGTTTATGCAAAGCTTCCCGAATGATAAGTTGTTGTGTGAGGAAATTACGGCCAAGGACACCTCGTGCGCCAGTCTTCGCGCTTTTCGCGTGCGCGTAGGCGTACCGGCCACATGTTTGTGTGGCTCAAGATATGGGTCCGTGAGGGTATTCCTATTTGGTTGCAAAGACAATCCAAAAGAAACACCCTCATTTTCGGGGGTCCCTCAAACTCGACGCACCTAAAGGTTGGCAAAGAAGTCCGGAGACCTTGCTTAGTAGCCCTGCACCTCGCAGTCGAAGCTGGAGTTGCCACAGTATGCTTTGTGTGAGTGTGTGGCTGTGTGCGCTTGCACCGAGAAGCCGCAATGATCCAAAGTGCACTTCACATATTGCGTTTGTGCTGAACTGTTGCGAGGATCCAACTGGAGCTGCCAGGATGAACTTTGTGTACCACACTTGTACCCCAGAATCCCCTTCCCCGCAACTCATTCGATGCAGCTCAACTCTGACTCTGATCACTCACTCCGATTGCTCCGGCCGTCAGGTCGCTCCACACCACTTCACCCCACTCCAGTCCTCTCCTCTCCTCACCTCCTCCACTCCACACTACTCCCCGCCGCACGCTGCTCACGCTACTCTACTCCCCCGCACGCACTCCCCGGTCCTATTTCACTCCGCTCCGCTGCACCCGACCCACATTACCCACCCACCGAATCGCTCAAGCGCACACTCATCCGGCATTCACTCGTATATTCACACGTACACGGCAGACATAAACACGCACAGCGGACATACACACAGCAGATACACACCCAGACACACGCATACCAGTATACACGCACAAACGCCTGCAGAGAAGCATAGGTACGAAGATGTGTCGACTCACCGATGCAAAGGTTTGTGTATGTGTGTGTGTGTGTGCATATTCACTTGCATGGTCTCTACACGCATGGAATGAGTGCGACTCATAGGGCTGAACTTGAAGGCGGCGAAAGGTTTGCGGTTCGGCCCTGGGTGAAAAGCAAGGGCTTTGCCCTTCAACCAGCAAACTACCAAACCAGTGATGATAGACGCACGATGCGAGCAGAGTGGAAGGTCAAACTAGCACTTGCACAGACTGTGTGTAGCTTTTTGGGCTTCTTTTTGAATTGCAAGCTCATGTTGAACTTTGTTTGCCTCGCAATGCCTAGGGGGCCGCCCGTGCGTGCTTGAACCTATGCAGGGCCCACTTGCAAGTGACGGTTTCGTTTCCAAGTTGCAACCAGGTCACGGCATGTCGACAGTGTGTTTGGGCAAGCGGAGGCCGACAGGCGAACAACAAGGAGGCCAGAGCCATGAATTCCTTCTTGTTCCGTTTGCAGTCGTGTGTGTGCGTTGGGTGTGTGTGTGTGTGGGTGTGTGTGGGTGTGAAGGTCTGTGTGTGTATGTGTGTATGTATGTGTGTTTTGTGTGTGTGTGTGGGTGTGTGGGTGTGTGGGGTGTGGGTGTGGGCGTGGGTGTGGGTGTGGGTGTGTGTGTGTGGTTTGGTGTGGTGTGGTGTGGTGTGGTGTGGTGTGGTGTGTTGTGGGTGTGGGTGTGGGTGTGGGTGTGGGTGTGGGTGTGGGTGTGGGTGTGGGCGTAGGCGTGGTGTGGTGTGGTGTGGTGTGGTGTGGGTGTGTGGGGTGTGGGTGTGGGTGTGGGTGTGTGTGTGTGACGTGCGCGTGCGCGTGCGCGTGCGTGTGCGTGTGCGCGTGTGGTTTGTCAAAGATTCAGCGAATCATGCCCCATGTGCCAACCTTCTTCTCCGGCAACTCTTGCATGAAGTTCATAAGCTGTATAGGTGTTTGCATTATGTTGCCCTCTGATGATTATCACCTTGGCCGCTTGCTTGGTTTGTTGCCGAGCTTCTTTGGCGACAGGGCATCCGGTGTCAACTTGGTCGATGTTGGGTGGTGCAGTCGTGAAGGCAGCCATGCGAAAGGGCTCTTCACCGAGAAGAAAGTTGGCTAAGAGACGAATGACTTGTGCGGTGCGCCTTTGACGCGACTGCATCTTAGCCATTCCCCAGCCAGGTGGTTGAAGAGCAGAAGAGGGAGTCCGACCCGGGCTATAGCAAGAAGATTGCTGCGAGGCGAGGTCTCCAGTGCATGTTGCTTTCGAGCTGAGCCGACATAAAATGAAACCAAGGCCAAGGCCGTGTGCGGCGGCATTCATGTGGTTTTCTCTCTTCTTTGCAGCTGCTTGCAAGGAAAACCGCTGAGGATGAAAAGAAGGAGGAGGACCGGCATCGCTTTGTGGCCATGAAGCTCTCTCTATCAGCAGCTCAGCAAACCCCATCCGCCGTTCCGTTTTCGGACAGGTCTAAGCCCAGCTTTGCAACATTCCTTGCAGGACGACAAGCAGAAGGACAGCCGAACCAGGAGATTCGGCCGAGAGAGTAGCGGCCTTTCCGATGTTAGCATCTTTGTGTGAGAGGCCTGTACTGGTACTGCGTATTGTCTCTGAAACGCGTAGCAAGCATCGGCTCCTGTAAGAGGATTCTTGTAAAGGGCCATGGTAGCACCAATTTGATATTTGGGTGTCTCGACATAGGTGAACCCCACAAAATGCTGATTTTTTGTTAATGTTGAAACGCATGTGGAAACATGAACTGTGTGTGGAATGCTTGACCACAATGGCATGTGCCATTTTGGCTCAAGCATTGTTCTGGGTTCCTGGAACCCAAGCTGATTGAAAAACTTTGATCTTTTGCATTTTCGAACTTAACCCCGACCAAGCAATGGCTTCCTCGGCAACCTCGGCAACTTCCTTTGAGTTGATTGAGGACCAGACACTCACCGTGGAGGAGGTTGAAATGGCCAGCCAGGAGGCCCAGGACATTCGCACACGGGAGGCGGCAGTGGCGGCCGGCTTGGTTTTGGACGAGCCCGAGGCCCCCCCGTCAGCTTCGGCGACCGATGTGATGAAGGACCTCTCCAGTGCACTGGAGCGTCTCCGAGTGGCATTTGCCACACCGACTCCCGGCTTGGGTGCCCCTGGCCCCGCCGAGGAGGGCGACAAGGACATGGGGGATGCGGACGGCACGGAGCGGGCCACACCACCGGAGGAGGCGCAGACGCCACCCACGAAGAGACTGAAGGGCTTCGTGGCGGCTTCTCAGAAGGCTACGTCTCAGGCCAACAAACCTGTCACCTTGGTGCCGGTGGACGGAAAACCCGGGTACTTCAAGCTGGTGGACCTCCCAGACCTGTTTCCAGTCCTTCCAGCGTCGGCGGCCACCTTGCTGAGAGACATCACGATGGAGGAGGCGGTCTCCCTGTTTCACAAGTTTGTTGGGAAGAACCTCACGGAGGACCTGGTGATCCGCATCTTGGAGGCGTACGTCCCGATGAAGATCCAGCTCCGCCAGGAGGAGGTCTGGGCTTCGCAGTTCCAGAGGAACAAGGCGTGTATCGGCACCCAGCGCATGTACAGGCTCGACGCAGGTCATTCCGACTACAAGTTCATGCGCAAGGCATGCGGAACGGGGTGGCCAGAGGCAGCCAAGCAGTGCTGGGTCTGCCCCGGCAAGGAGTTCGCCCCCTTCCAGGCACCCTCGGCCACCTATGAGGCGGACGGCATCACCTACAACCTGCTCATCTTGGAGGGCAAGCCGACCTGGATCCAGCAGCGGGAATGGGGAAGCCTGGGTGCCGTTGGCCCCGGTGGTACCCTGGCACAGGCCGACCGCAACTTGGTGGACGGCACGGTCTTGGGGAGAGCCCCTCCAAAAACGGACTCGGCGGATGAGATCACCATGGCAGATGCGGTCCCGCTTAACAGGCGGGTGGACATCCGGCAGGAGATCCTGTCCATGGAGGCGGACGACGAGGCGTTGAAGGTCCGCAAAAGCCAGGGGTTGCTCCCCCCCCTTGGGTGCCGTTGGCCCTGGGGGGGGAGGCGGACCCAAAGGCCAAGGTCCTGGGGGGGGCAGACACCACGCTCCGCACCCCAGACCAGGGCACCAGGCGGTACCCGCCCCTCACCGCGGCCACGGTCACGGCGGTTGCGGGCCGAAAGTACGTCAACAAGCACTTCCCCAAGGAGGCGAAGCATGTGTTTTGGGGCTCCGTGGAGTGTGGCTTGGTCTTGCCAAGCATCAGTGCCTGGGAAGTGGTGAGCAAGGAAAAGTTCAAGACCACGGGGGGCTATATGTGCAGATTTTGCAAGGGCTTCTGGAAGGCGAGCCGCGGGGGGACCAGGCTGCTCCAGATCACGGGGTGGCACAGGGATAAGGCCACCTGCTTGCAGCTGGTGACGGAGCAGCTGTACAATCAGTGGATCCGCGATCGGATGGAGTTCTACAAGAGGGTGGAGCCAACGGAGCCTCGGCGACGCAAGCACCCCCCGCATGCGCTTCAGCTCCTCGAACGGTCTGGGGGATGTCTCCACGGCTTTGTGGTCGGTCATCCTGAGCAACCCGGAGAAGTCGGGGCTGGCGGCAATCCACTCGGTGGCGAAGGAGGCGATCCTGAAGGGAGGGAGCCGCTAGGTTTTGTCTCACAACCCTGTCGGACGTGGGAGTCGTGTGAGTTCTTCCTCCCGGGACTTGGGTGCCTTTGGCCCCGTCTCCGGGGGGGGAGGGGGAAAGGGTTTTTCCTTATTGGGTTCGGTTTTCACCACTGTTTCCTCTCTTATTCCATTCTGGTGGCGCACGTGGGTTCTTCTGGTTGCATGGCAATGGAGCCACGTCACGGCAGCTTGATCTCCTCGACCATGAGGCCACATGCGTTGGCTGCCCCAAGGACGGGCCATCTCAGCCACGGTTCGGAAAAAGTGGCTGCGGCCGACTCTTGGTTTCCTTGAGGTTTGCTTTGGGTTTTTGGGGAATCCCCCGCCTGGTCGGTCTCCCCCCTCCGTGCTTTTGGGGGGTTTCTGGGGGGTTGATTTTGGGTCGCGCTCCCCCCCTTTCCCGGTTAAAATCTCGGGACTTTGGGGGGGACTTGTCGGGATGCGTGTGGCCTGCCTGCTCCATCTGCACTCTGCATTCTGCAAGGTTGGAGCACGCATGCATTGTGCCGCGGTTGGGTCCCGGCGGTTCGATAGGAGGCTCGAAACCCCCTTTTTCATCATGGCTAGGGTATCTACCAAGTTTCTTATGCGCCCGCCTTACACACGTCTTTGGGACCGCATTCCAAGGGTCCTATGGGACACGTTGGCGGATGAGTTTTTTTTTGCCGAGACAGACGGACGGAGCTGTTGGTCCTGAGGGGAGGAAGCTGGGCGGAGAGCCGGCAATCCGCGTCTCTCAGCTCCTGGAACTCTCGGGCATTCCGGTAGGACAAGACGACCACGTGGTCCCGACGGACTACTTCAACGGCCTGGTGGCGTCGGCCTCTGTCCGCGGCGGACCTGGCCGACCTGTGGGACAGCCTATGGTTCCTCCTCCTGGCGACGGCGGATGGCAAGCCGAGCGAAAACTTTTCCCCGCTGGAGAATGAATGGGACCGCCAGGACCAATGGAGGTGGTTCTCACGAGATGACCCACCCCCACTCCAACAACCGGAGCTTCTGAAGTGGAGGCACTGGCGCCCGGGCAAAATAAGGGAAATGGAGCCCACGACCCAGCGAGCGCTGGAACTCCATATGCGCGGGAAATGGGCGGAACGGCTCCTCGCCCACTTTGCCCCGTTTGCGGAGCACATCGCGTACATGCAGGACATCCTGGGGGAGGACTTCCGCAAGGAGGCATTGGACCTCCTAGGGGACAATAGGTTCCGGACACTCAGGCAACATTGCCTGGTCTACGAGAGTCTCCGGAAGAGAGGCTTCACGGTGATTCCATGGCAGGAACGACATGTCCGCTCTCTCCTCAACCAGCTCGCCGAAGAGGATCACCCCGTACAAGCTACGGCAGGTGTGGAACACCCTCAAATAGTATTCCAAGACCTTCGGTATGCTGAAGATAGACGAGCTCCATCGCCTCAAGTCCAAGAAGAGCTCGTTGGAAGAGGCACTCACGGACACGGTCACCCGGCCGCAGCGCAAGGCGGTGGTCCCCAGCAAAGAGGTCATATGGGCTCTGGAGGAAGGGGCTGGCTACGATCACCTGGGTGCCACCGGCGTACTGGACGCATTCATCCTGGTTCCAAGTAGGGTGCAGCGCTCGTTTCAATGACCTCCAGCATGTTCACCCCAAGGACCTTATCCACACCAGTAACACCGTGGAGCTGAAGGCCTGGCAGACCAAGACGGTCTCAGCAGCACGAATCAACCGCAACCCGGTCCCCTTGATTGCTCCGAAGTACAGCTTCACGGGGATCCCCTGGTGGACTACCTGGGTGGCCACGGTCCGGCGACTGGTATCCGAGGAGGCATTCTAGGACATGGACTACTTGCTCCCGACAGTGAGCAAAGACTCTGATCCCGAGACCTTCCACACCAGAAAGGGCTCTGAGATGGCTCAAGGATGCTCTTCTCCGTCGGGGAGTGACCCCGGGGTTGGTGAGGTTAGGCAACTGGCTCACAGAGAGCACAGCAGACGTCTATGTGCGGGAGAAGCGCAATGTCGTTGTGGAGATTTGGGGCCAGGTAGCGCAGAAGGTCCCCAACCTCAACCTCGGGCCAGGCAGGGAACGCAGGGAGGACTTGAACCACCCGGACTGGGCGGACCCGCTCCCGACGCCAGCAGTGGAAATCACGGATGCGGGACCGGACGGCCACAAGGACCAAACCGAAGGGGAAGGGGAGGCGTCCCCCACGGTACCCTCAAGGAGCGCACCATCGACTCGCTCATGGTTACTGGTGGAACAGGGACCCGAGGACACACCAGTGAAGGCCAAGGACCTATTTCCCACCACCCCGGACTTCCCCCTTCGGGTCGTTGCGGCGGTCAAACGCACAGGCAACGCCGGCCAGGCCAGAATCCACCTGCTGAATGACGAAGGCACGGCTGTGGGGTGCGGGTGGCGACCGGCGGCCTCTAAGATCCAGGAGCTCTCCGTGCTGGATTACATGTCGGAGCCAGAGGCCTATGGCAAGTGCGAACGTTGCTTCAAGAGGTATGGCTTCCCGGCGGACTGGGTACTGGAGCCTGCGGAGATCCCCACACTGCAGGAGGACTCGACTCCTTGCCGGACTCGGGCTCTGAAACGGATGACTCGGTAGACACCCAGTCGGAGACCGAGGTGGTGGCCCTACCTTTGGAAGCCTAGGTGCCCCCGGCCCTGACGACCTAAGGGGGAGGCCAAGGACAGGGCTCTGGCCAGGGCCCTCAGCACAGACTGGCATCCTTCGGAAATGGCGGGTGTGCCAGACTGTCCTTCGGAAATGGCGCTATCAGTCTGCACACCCGTTCTTCAGTTTTTGAGAGTTTGTGGTGGGTGGCCCATGGGGCCCACCCAGCCGTTGACATCTGACAGGGGAAGATGAGTCCCTGGCA